TGGCGGACGAAATTAATTTTCGATAGTTTATCCATCAAATAACTTACACATTTTTTAAGCAAAAATCTATAACTCTTTCACCGACCCTTGCAAAATTCAAAACAATTTTATTTTAATGATACTCTATATAAAATTATATGTACATCTTATACACTTTTTAAGCAGAAATCGGTAATCCTTTCACCAATCCTCGCCAAATTAAATAACAATTTTCCTTTAATGATACTCCATCCATCAAATAACTTAGGGTAGATTGAGGCGAATCAGATTAATATAAGTTTTAAGACAATTTTCGTTAGTGTTTTATTTTAAACGAGCTATTTTATCGTGCTAATCAGTAATCCGATTTGCCTCGGTCTATCCTATACATTTTTTAGGCAGAAATTGGTAACCCTTTCACTAATCTTCGTCAAATTTAAAACAACCTCTCTTTAATGATACCTTATATATAAGATTACATGTATGACTTGTTCACTTTTTAGACAAAAATTGGTAACCCCTTCACCGATCATTGCCAAATTCAACACCAATCTATCTTTAATGATACTCTCTCCATAAAAAAAAGTGTGCAAGTAGAAACTTGCACATTGCTTCCTTAGTGCAAGTAGAAACGTGCACATTACTTCTTCTATGAGGAAGCCAAATTAATAAATATCTACTAATAATTATACATAAAAAAAACAGGCTTCTTCATAGAGGAAGCAATGTGCACGTTTCTACTTTCACACTTAAAAACTATAAAGAAGCAATGTGCAAGTTTCTACTTGCTCACTTAAACAAGGATCTACTTGCACACTTAAAAATTATGAGAAAGCAATGTAAAAGTTTCCAATTGCACATTTAAAAACTATGAGGAAGCAATGTACAAGTTCCTATTTGCACATTTAAAAACTATGAGGATGCAATGTGCAAGTTTCTACTTGTCTTTAATTTGCTTTATACAGTTTGCGAGATATCAAAATTATCAATCATTAGAATTTGTACATTCTCAAGGCACAGACAAATTACTTCATTCTTGTTTCAATTTGCTCCACCTTTGAAAACTAATTGTCAATAGTAATTATTAAGAAAAACATAAAAATAATTGTTTTATGCAGTTTGAGGGTTATCAATCATTAGAATTTGTGCATTCTCAAGGCACAGACAAATTGCTCCATTCTTGTTTCAATTTGCTCCACCTTTGAAAACTAATTATCTACAGTATTTAATAAAAATATTAAAAGTAATTGCTAATAATATTTGTTAAGTAAATGAAAGAAAAATAACTAACTTTAAAAATGACGCTCTTAATTTCTATTGCACAGGCGCTAAATACTTTTGCGCATGCGCACAATTTTTTGATATTTCGCAAAATGCATAAAGCAATTATTTTTTATTTTTTTATTAAATACTGTAGATAATTAGTTTTCAAAGGTGGAGCAAATTGAAACAAGAATGAAGCAATTTGTCTGTGCCTTGAGAATGCACAAATTCTAATGATTGATAACTCCCAAACTGCATAAAGCAATTATTTTTATGTTTTTCTTAATAAATACTACTGACAATTAGTTTTCAAAGGTGGAGCAAATTGAAACAAGAATGAAGTAATTTGTCTGTGCCTTGAGAATGTAGAAATTCTAATGATTGATAACTTTGATATCTCGCAAACTGTATAAAGCAAATTACAGAAAAATGAATAACGTAATAAATGGCGCGTTCGATTTCTGTTGCGCAGGCGCTAATACTGCGCATGCGCATAATTTCTTGATAACCTCCAAAAGCCTGCATAAAGCAATTATTTACGTTTTTCTTAATAAATTCTGTAGATAATTAGTTTGTAAAGGTGGAGCAAATTCAAACAAAAAAGGAGCAATTTTTCTATACCTTGCGAATTTACAAATTCTAATAATTTTCACTTATATTACCGTTTAGATTGTTTTTAATTTTATCATTTAATTATTAAAAAAAAGTAAAATGGAGCAAATTATGAAAGAGCAAATTAAGCAGATTTTTTTGCATCGTAAGTTTCATTACTGTAGAAGTCGCTGGCTGGGAACTTGTGAGTGTATTATTCCCCTACTTTCCCCTACCTCTTGTACTCGGCCTATATAACTATTTCCTCTTATAACTTGAAAACTAAGCTTTGAAGAAGATTTTGGTCAAGGAAAATCGTCTCAAAATTGAGTCAATAATCCGACATTTAAAGGACAATAGAATTATTTAGAATTATCTAAATAATATTCTATAAAATTCAAGAACTTCATTAAACAAAAATATAAAGTTAGTTCTGCCTAGTTAGTTTTCTGCAATATATTTTTGATAAAGAGAGATTAACTCCAAAGTTAGCAAATAAATCAATGACTAAGAATCATCAGCTAATATTTCTCATTATTAAACTAAAAGAAGAAGAAAAAATTAGAAACTTGGCATTGCTTCCTCATCATTACAGATCATACATATCATTGCTCTTATTTTATTTCGCTCACAAAGCTTCTTTTATGAGGAAGCTTGTATTTTATGTGATGCATAATTATTAATATTTATTAGTTTGGCTTTCTCATAGAGGAAGCTTTATGAGCAAAATAAAACAGGAGCAATGGAGCCATCTGTAACGATGAGGAAGCAATGTGCAAGTTTCTAATTGGCACACTTTTTTAATTTTAAATTTAACCTTTTTATAAATTAAAAAAGGGTCAGCTTAGTAGCACAAGTGGGATTTTACAATTGACGCAATGTCAAATCGATGTTGACTTTGGGAGTTCAGGCTACATGGTCTATATATAAACTTCGCATATGGATCTTTGATCGCGTATAAAACTAAGTCTAATCTACTAAATCTTGAAGAATCATATATGAAATAAAGGTAAAAAAGACTGAAAAATATAATAAAATTAAAAATAAGTAGGTGATATAGGCCGATTCCAACTCGGGTGCTCCGAGGGAGAGGTGAGAGAGGGAGTATCAGATTACGCAAGGGGTGAGAAGAAGGGGAGGGGGGCGGGGTATCGGGTTACACAGGGGTATCGAATTTTGCGGGGAGGTGGGGGGTAAAATGGAGGGGAGGGGGCGGGGTATCGTGTTACATAAGGGTATCAGATTACAAGGAGATAACGCGGGGGTGAGGGGGAAGGGGAGGGAAGGGGTATCGGGTTACACAAGGGTATCGGGTTACACAAGGTTATCGGTTTACGTGGAGCAGGGGGAGGGGAGGGGGTTGACCTTGGCATACCACAAGCATGACTTACCGGGATGAGTCACGCGGGATGACTCACCCGCTCCGCGGGTTCGCGGGAGCGGAAGTCCGCGTTCGCGGGAGCGGAAGTCCGCGTTCGCGGTCGCGCTGCGGGATCCGCGTGGGGGTACGCGGGGGACCGCGGGGGAGCCGCATGGGGGTTCCGCGTTCGCGTTCGCGGTCGCGCCGCGGGGGACTCGTTCGCAACGACGCCGCTAGGCGGCGCACAATGGGTAAAACTAACTTAATAGCGCACTGCGTAGGAGCGTGTTTAATAACGCTAACGCATCGAACCGGTCGGAACATGTTCGTCGTAAACAGCATTTTTCTAGGAAAAGAAGGGGTGTTATCGCGTAGACTAAACAATCTATCTACGCAGTACGCGAGACAAAGGAAGAAATGACATTTTTCTAGTAAAAGAGGGGGGAGGTTATCGCGTAGACTAAACAATCTATCTACGCAGTACGCGAGACAAAGGAAAAAATGACTCGTCGAACCTGTTGGAACATGTTCGTCGTAAACAACATTTGATAAAATATAGGTAGGGATGGACATGCACGCAAAGAAATTACATCGTTTATTTAGGTGTAAAAAAAGTCTGTTTATTTAACTCTTCTTTTACATAATATATCTTACGTGCTAAAAAACTAAAGCTGCGAGCTCACAATCGATTAGCTGATTCGTATTAAACGCATCGTTAGCGTATATTACATTCGACGCCTTCTTGAGATCCGTCAACAGTGGACGCGATATCGGAGAACTGCTCTATCTACGCAACACGTAAAAAACAAAGGAAGAAATAACGTCATCAGGACGATGATCGACCCGATAACGCATCGAACCTGTCGGGACACGTTCGTCGTAAACAAATGTTTTCTAGGAAAAGGGGGTGTTATCGCGTAGACTAAACAATCTATCTACGCAGTACGCGAGACAAAGGTAAAAAATCTTTTAAAAAATCAGTTGGATCGAGAGAGAGGGCAAAGGGTATATAACGTGGAATGAAGCGCATCGAGCCGCAGTAGTAAGATTTGAGAGCAATACATTGGTTAAAAAGTATCGAGATTTATTGTGTGGTTAAACACGTTATCACGTGCAAGTGCTGTGAAGTGATATAATAAAAGAACTGGTGCGAAAGTGATCAAACATGGATCAATTTGAGCAAACTGAACTCGATCTGTTGGAGCTGTCCGACCAAGTAGCTACCTTGGGTGAATTTTTCACATGGACGCTGCAATGCGCGGAATTCGTCGAGCAGCTCGAGACACGCTGTAGTGCTAAACGTCAGCGGCTCTCCGACAATCCAACGATCGGGCAGAGGCAATCGTTGGTTGCCCGAATCGCGCGACTCGAGGGTGTGAAGTCGCGATTGGAAAGACAATTTATCCATAGCGGTGGTGATTATGCAAACGCCGGTACCAGTAGCGACACGCGCGCGGCAGAACTCGTATGGCGAGAAACCGATGCCGCGTTCAAAACGTGAATAATGACCGGTGCGGTAATTAATACAGACCATATAGAACCGCGACAGGTTTGGAAGACGCCTGCAGCGTAGTGTGCAAGCGGTGCGAGACATTATAAAAAAACATAACTGTGTCAAATTGAACACCGCGTTCAACGGGGAGTTTGTGGCGGGTGATAAACGTGCCAATAAAAGTATATGTACAAATAACATAGAACTCTGTCTTACATCGCACTTGCGCGAGTGGTACGAGCGACACGTTATCGAGCCCACATTAGCGAAACTCGGGGAGTCCCAGGAACGCGACAGTGGGTGGGCGTTGACTCGAATCCTCAATTTGACGGTGAGCGTCAACAGGTACAATACTTTGCGCGCGGGGTGTCACTTGGAATTGCCTAAAGACATTAAAGTGAAGAACGCGGTGATCAAACTACGATCAATGGACAATGCGTGTTTTGCGTGGGCCGTGACGGCTACTCTGCATCCAGCTGAAAGAAATTCGGGAATTATCATACCCGCATTATTCAACGGTACTGAATTAACAAGACATTGAGTTCCCAATGACGTTGAGTCAAATTAAACAGTTCGAACAACTCAATGACGATATATCCGTCAACGTCTATACCATCGAGGGACAGAAGACTTCAAAAGTTCTTCCAATACGGCTTACCGACCGCACGGATAAAAACACACGTGAATCTGCTGTACGTGCAGGACCCGCGAAACAACAATGTTGGACATTTTGCGTGGATTAAACATCTATCCCGCCTCGTGAGCTCGCAAATTAATAAACATGGACATACAAAGTACATTTGTGATCGGTAAATACCTCTACTTCTCTTAATAATATATAAAATATTTTATATTTTGTGTATAAAAATATACAATAATTGAGTGTTTTTTTTTTTTTGCAGATGTCTTCACTACTTTAGTTCGAGCGACAAGTTGCAGTCTCACACAACAGACTGCCGAGAGGTAAACAACTGCGCTATCAGACTACCGAGCGCGGACAAGTGGCTGAGCTTCAAGAACCACAGCAGGAAAGAGCGACTTCCCTTCGTGGTGTATGCCGATCTGGGGTACGTGCTGAAGAAGACAACCGGAGACGGAACACGCGTCATACGCCTATCAACATCATCGGGTATGTAATATAGGATACTACGTACAGTGCTCGTATGATGAAACGTTATCAGCGTATCGATTTCGTCGCAATAATGACTGCGTCGCGTGGTTCGCCAAGAAACTCAAAAGATTGGCGCATCGCGTAAAAAACATTTTGTCCGACATTGTATGCATGGTAGACCTAACGCGAGACGAGTGAGAGACATTTCACAGCGCGGCGCAATGTCACATTTGTGAAAAACCGTTCGCGTCAATTGACAATCGTGTACGCGATGATTGCCACCATACCGGGCGTTATAGAGGTCCAGCACATTCGACATGCAATCTAAATTATAAGGATTCTCACTTTATCCCAGTAATATTTCACAATCTATCGGGCTATGACGCGCATTTTATTATCACGGAGATAGCTGCCGCGTTCGAAGGCTCGATCGATGTACTACCTATAACAAAGGAAAAGTACATCTCATTCACTAAACACGTAAAAGATACTGCTGAAAGATCAGATTCGCGAAGCGATATAAAATTAAGATTCATCGACTCGTACAAATTTCTGAGCACAAGTCTCGCAAAATTGGCATCCTTCCTCGATAAAAATAAGTTGAAAATTATACGTTCCAAATTTTTCGCGTTATCCGACAACGATTTCAAATTATTGATGCGAAAAGGTGTCTTTCCATGCGAATACGTAGACGGCATAGAAAAGCTGGAGGATACGTGTTTACCACCGCGCGATTCATTTTACAATTCCTTGACCGGTGACACTGTATCCGAGAGCGATTACGCGCACGTCGCGAACGTATGGCAGCGATTCTCCGTTCGAACCCTGGGCGAATACAGTGATCTATACCTGAAAACCGATGTCTTGCTGTTGGTCGACGTGTTTGAAAAGTTCCGCGATAGCTGTATCGCGAGTTACAGACTTGATCCCGCGTACTACTACACTTTACCAGGCTTTACGTGGGACGCCATGTTGAAACATACGTGTGTCAATTTCGAACTGCTGACCGACATTGACATGGTCATGTTTATCGAACGAGGTATTCGTGGCGGTCTGAGTCAGTGTTCAAACAGATACGCGCAGGCCAACAACAAGTACATGCAGTCGTACAATCCATCGAAACCGTCGTCGTACCTGATGTACTTTGATGTCAACAACCTGTACGGCTGGGCGATGTGTCGGTCACTGCTCTACGCAGATTTTCGATAGGTCAAAGACGTGTCAAATTTCGACTTTAGCGCGATTGCTTCGGATTCGCCTATCTGCAGCAGTGCACGCGCCACGGCCTTTGCGTCACAAAAATACATCGCGTATTGCAATTTGCTCAATCTGCGTGGCTCCGCGCTTACATCGAACTTAATACAAAATAAATTTCTAAAAAACATTGGCCAAAAATGAGTTCGAAAAAAATTTATATAAATTAATGAATAACGTGGTTTTCGGGAAAACGATGGAAAATGTACGCAATCACGTCGATGTAAAATTACTGACAAAGTGGGACGGACGATACGGCGTGGAGGCAATGATCGCGCAACCAAATTTCCACAGCAGGAGCTTGTTTTCGAAAAATCTGAAAGCCGTCGAACTGCGCAAACTCGAGGTGAAATTCAACAAAGCGATCTACATCGGCATGTGCATCCTCGACTTGTCGAAGGTGTGCCTATACGAATTTCACCACGAGTACATGTCTTCCCTGTACTGCGACTCGTGTAGAATCATGTATACCGACACGGACAGTCTGATTTATCATATCAAGTGCGACGACGCGTACGAGAACATGAAACGCGATATAGTCAGGTTCGACACGAGTGATTACGCGGTAGACAACGCTTATGGTATGTCTCTCGTCAATAAAAAAGTGCCGGGCCTGATGAAGGACGAAAACAACGGTGCCATTATGACCGAATTCGTTGGACTTAGGGCGAAAATGTACGCCTTGCAAGTCGATGGTAAGAAAGAATGTAAAAAGCAAAAGGTGTCAAAAGCAACGTCATCGCGCGCACCATCACGTTCGACGACTACACGCGGTGTCTGAACGATGAGATCGAAATGACTCAATCGCAGTCGTGCATAAGATCGAAAATGCACAAAATGTACACTATCAGCGAGACGAAAATTGCTCTGAGTCCGTACGACGATAAGCGATATATCGTGCCGGATTCGACCAATACGTTGCCGTGGGAACATTACCGAATATAACGTATGTAATATGATGTGTGTACATATGTATATAAGTATGTAATGTATGTAGTAGTATAACATATAAATGTATGTATGTATGTATGTATGTATGTATATAATGTAACGTATGTATATTAATGGAAGGATATTAATAAAGATATCGTACATGTATTTGTATTTAATATTTTTTATTATATCCTTTATATGTATTACATATTTCAAAACACTTTACATGTATCATTTTTTATATTAAAAATAAAATACAGTTTAAATAACATTGTTCTTGTGTATCCAAGAGTTGTGTGATTCATCGAATCTCAGCCATTTCACGTAAACCTCGTCGCCCCTTCTGCGCAGTACTTTCTCTACGAGATACACGTCCGGATAAGTCGCGCGATGCAACTCGTGCTCGTAGAACGCTCCAGCGACTGATTTTCCACGATAGTCCTCGAGTAGGTAGGTTACGGGATTGGTATGCTGCACTTTAACGATCTTAAACACTTCGGTGGTCCAATTCGGCGTGTAACCCTTCTCGAAAATTGTCTTGTATTTGCTGACGCGTACCGAGTTGTCCGTTTTAAACTTTGCCGGATCCGCGATCTTTATCGCGCTGTACACGGTAGCCAAGAGTCTTTCGGCGATCGCAGGAGTAACGTCGACGGGTCGCATGCCGATCGTTCGATGCTTGCGCGCGTTGTAATCCGACACGAGTCGCGGCAAGGCGTCGACCCACTTGTAATTTCCATTGAGCGTAAACATCTTCCACATATTGTTTTTTAACGTGCGATTGAATCGCTCGACGACCGATGCCTTCATCACCGAATACGTGGAATAATGATTGATGTAGTGTTTTCTCACGAGATGTTGCACGTCGGTGTTGTAAAATTCTTTCCCCATGTCGGTTTGTAGATTACTAGGGCACCTCCCACTATCTCGAATTATCTCAGCGATAACGTCAGCTGTCTCGCTGCCGCCTTTACCCTCGAGTGGCACGGCCCACGCGTACTTGCTCAACACATCGATGACGGTGAGTATGTAATGGTAGCCTCCGTTGAAACGCGAGTACGGGCGCATCTCGACGATATCAGCTTGCCACAGATCGTCGTACCCTCGCACTATGACGTGTCTACGGGGAAAATTTCTTTTCGCCGGTGCGTGCAATTCGTCCACCAACCGTCGCTTTTCGATATTTTTATCCACATCGGTCGATTTTAACGGTCTCATGTTTGGTTAGCGTTTCGTTGGCTGTTCGTCGTCGTTCTTCAGCTGTACGTAGCCGTTTCTGTTTATGTTTCTGCGTCGTTCGTAGCTGTTTCTGAAACCGCTCAGAAAAGATTTTGAGCCGTTCTCGAACCGTTCGTTGTCGTTTGTCGTCGTCATTTAACTGCTTCTTGTCACTCATCGTCGTCGTCGTCGTCGACGTTCTTTAGCCGTTTGTAGCCTTTCCTGTCTCCGCGTAGTTCGCAGCTGTTTCTAAACCGCTTGTAATCGTTTCTGAGCTGTTTTTGAACCGTTCGACAACCGTCGGACAACCGTTCTTGAACCGTTAGACAGCCGTCCGACAACCGTTCTCGAATCGTTCGTTGCTGTACGTCGCCGTCGTTAATTTACGGAAGCCGGGTTGGCTCACAGTTGACTTGTAGCCAAGTGGCGCTGCACACGGCCACTTCCAACATGTGCACACACCCACATGTGCAGATGTGCGGGGAAAGTGCGAGTATCTACCTTATCGATTCGAGATAACAAAAATATATATATATTTTTGTCTCTCTCTTATAACTGGCAAATTTTGTAAACAATTCAATTAATCGGTGTCGCTAAGAGGTTAGGAACGATTAATATTTCGTTTACTTTAAAAGTAAATAGAAGTTAGTTATTGAAATTATAAAAAGCATTACGAAAAAAATTGACAATGAGTTTTGTCAAAATAAAAGACAATAAAACAGCAGTTAAATTACCGGCAAATCGCAGAAAGCTAAAAATAGAAGTCGTTAGAGCATATTTTCCAGGTGCTGACGGCTTAATGTTTTTTGTTGGAGAAGACAATTGTAGAATTAATATTGAAAATAGAGAATTTGATTTAATTGAAGGTGTAGATGAATACGAAGTTTTTTACTCTCATCCTCTCAAAGGTAAATTTTTTTTCATTAAATTGATTATACGTTTGATTTTTACGATGCTAAAATTTATAATAATCGCGATAATAGTAATAATAATAATAATTAATATTTTTTTTATAGAAAATATTTACAGCAATGCTAAAAGAAGACGGATTGATGAAATTATGGGTATCATTGACGGACAGGAAAATAAGGATTTAATATCCCAGAAATCACCGGACATTCCAGTACGTATGACAGTCAAATTCATTTCGTCATTGGTTTATTTTCATTTCCTATAAAATTTATTTCATTCAACAATTCTGCAAAATTTTGCTAGCATAATTGTATTAAATATGTATCTTAAAATTTATGAGTTACTACATTATTGCAGTTGTACTTAGAAAGATATTTTTTACAGATCCCATTGAAGAAAGTCATGAAAACTTTACATGTAGGTTGGAAGCACAGAGAAAGTCCTAATGAAGTATATAAGCAAATTATTGCCCCAGTTGGTGGTATAAAAAAAGTTGAATTGAATCGGAACAAAAAATATTCTTTTGACGAAATTAAAAAAATGAGTATGTCTGCAATGGAAAATATATATAATAAAGAAATCTTGGCCAGTTCAGTGATCCATTTAGGAAATTACCAGGAAGAAATTTTTCACAATTTCACAGATTTCAATAAGAAGAAGAATACTGATTTTTGGGACTTTAGTGATAAATTGAAAATAAAAAACTCACAGTTGCGATTATATTTATTTTCAACTATCGTTAAGTATGAAAACAGTATAAAAGTTTGTTCTTCCACAGTCACTTTGACAGACTCTAAACAGTGTGATATCAGTAAAAAAACCGTGACAAAACAGTCATATAGCGGAACAATTATCTCATTTTCTCAACCGAAGAAAAAAGCATCTTCTAGTACTGAAATTAACACGAGTTCTAAAAAAACGTAGGAAGAATCAAGGTCTACGGACGATAATGAACATCAATTGAGATTCTCGATACCTACAATTGAAGAATCAGATATTAAGTTCACCAAGACATTATTAGGTAGTGGATCATTTGGATGTGTAATTTTATCAATTTGGAAAAACACAGAAGTTGCCGTGAAGAAGATAAAAGCTTCTGAAGAACAGAAATATATATACAGAGAAATAAATGTGATGGATAAGATTCGTCACCCTAATTTAATTTCCATTATGGGTATATGTTCTACAGAATCTCATTTTTACATCGTTATGGAATACTTCAAGAGTCAAAATTTAGCAATTTTCATATCGAAGCGAGACGAAGCCTTGGATTATGCAGTAAAGAAGAATGAAAACTATTCCATCGCATTACAAATTTGTAAAGCAATAACGTTTCTTCATGAATTTAACCCTACTATTCTTCATAAAGATATAAAACCTGAAAATATAAATCATTTCTTAATGATTAAAATTTGTGATTTCGGGTTAAGCAAGATATGTGATGGATCGTCGGCCCTAGAAACAACTGTTGGTCAATATTTTCGTGGAACACCTTTATATATGCCACCGGAAATTCTCATTGAACATGCACAAGGTACTACATACTTTGATGTATGGTCTCTGGCATGTTGTATCGTCGAACTGTTCACAGAACAAAGAGTTTGGAACGTAGTGCCTGAACTTAGTATACCAAATTTGAAGAAAGTCGTTAAAACTCAAAAAATACCATGCTTAAAAGGTGTACCAGTATTAATACAGGACACAATTAAAAGATGTTTTGAACATGAACCAAAAAAAAGACCAAATGCCGCTATATTGCTTCACATATTCAAGCGTATTTATACAGAAGAGGAAGACAAATAATAAAATAAGAAATTAGAGAGAATGATTTTTATATAAAGTTTTTGCTGAGCACAGGTTGTGATTAAAAGCTTTAGATTCTTTAATTAAAATAGTATAAAACTGAAAGTATTAACTATTTGCAATGTCAGTTATAGATTAATTTATTTAAAATACAGATAGCATTAAAGAAGCTGTTAAGCAGCCAGAATTATACAGTTTTAAGTAACTAATATTCTTTCCATTAGATTCTTTATTTTTGTCAATAATAGATTAAATGTATTCACTATTTGCAATTTCTGTAATAACTTAATTTGTTATTTAAAATATAGGTCAAAGTTAAGAAGCTGTCAAAAAGTCAGAATTATGCAGTTTTAAGTAACTATTTATTTTATTATTTTATTTCCATAAGCTTTCATAAACTGTGAAAAAGCTGATGAAAATCTTGAAAAAATTTTAGCATTTTAGTAATTATATTTCAGAGACTTTCTTTTAAGTATTTTTTTTAATTTTAATAACTTGTTGGTGCTTTATTTTTTATATTGTTATCAGAATTCCAGAAAATATATTTAGACTGTTAGAAGTTAAAAATTTAAGCTTTAGGAGTAAAATTGAATACTTTTAAAACAAGAGTTTTGTGAAACTTATTTTAAGATATATAAATGTAATGCTGTGCATTTAAAACTGTACTAAACAAAAAATATTAATAAAAAATTTAAAAATGAAAAAATTAAGTTTAAATTTTATTATTACATCAAATTTATATTGTAAAAACAACAATTAGGTAAGCTAAAAATTTTTAATTTTTGTTTCTATGAGTTGCATATGCTTCTAAAATATTTTTATATAAATTCAATGCCTCCGTAGGATTTGTTGGAATTTTAACATCGGGCACTAATAATTCCACCAATTCTGTTACAATCGGATTAAGCAATTATTGTGGTTTTTTTGTAAACTTATCCATTAATCTTTCAACTGTATTTTTGTTAATAAGTTTTTTAAAATCTCGGCACTGGTATTGATGAGGTAAGTTGAATAATGCATTAGGCCGTCCAGCAACTAGATTTCGGGCTGCTTGTTTTCTGATACGGTGTTCATTCCATAGCCTCCGATTATAATCCAAATCGTGTTTCAATAATGGTCCAAAACAAAATTGGAGGCACTTAATATGAAAATTACTTCCATCAAATAGACCTTTCAACTGGATACTCTTAAATAATTGGATGTAAAAATTCACTGTATGCTGACGCATTCGACCCCAATATGATTCGATGCGTTGATTTTTAACACTCTTTCCTTCGATGAAACTTCCTTTTCCAGCAAGCTTATCAGAATGTTTACTACGTAAACAAGTTTGAAAAAGACCTATAAGATGGTTTTCAGAACCTTGGTCACACTTGATTATTGTCGGGAGAAATTCAAGCTGCTTAACCGTTTTTAAAAAGTAATGAGCAGTAACTGCTGGGTCGTTATTTGTAGTTGCTACTTCTAACCATAAAATTTTTCTTGAAAAGCCATCTATGCAGCCATGTATAGCGAAGCCAAATTGTTTTAACTTATCGTAACCATCCAGGTGCCACAGAAAAGGTCCTGGGCTTAAGTATTGTCTTCGACGTAACTTATTTCCGAATCGGTTGGCAACTCCAACTGGATCTACAATCTTTAATATTTCGTAAACAGTGTCTCTTTTTACTTTCAGGTGATACACTGCATTTTTAGTTTACTCCATAAGCCTCTGTATCAGAAATTGTAACCACATGAGTGAACCTCTTCAACAACAGCAGAAATTATGTCTCTCATTTCTGACTCCTTGAAATATCTTTTTTCAGTCCCAATGAAGAAAGTATTCTCTTAATAGTGCTGATCGATTTAGAAATTCCATGGTTTTTTAACAACAATTCGCGTATTTGTATAATTGTGTAATTTTCTAGGAAATATTGTTTTATTAAACTTTCCAACATAGTAAATATCTCTTCAAATCGTCTCGTACAAACAAACAATTACCTGTAGGTTTCGTGAATACAAAGAATTACCTGTAACTGATATATTAAATGATTAATTGACTGTTTTGGATTTTTGACATGTTTTTTTT